TCCTCTATTCTCAAACAGTCAATATTTTTTTTTCAATATCGAAATATATTCAATGCCAATGTTATCCAATATCATATTTTATTATCCTCAAAATCCAAATATCTTTAATGCCAAAATTACCCAATACCAAAAAATTTTTCCAAAAGACAGCTTCCACTATTATAAAACAATCAATATTTTTGTTGCATTATTAAAATATATTCAATACTAATGTTATCCAATATCTCTCGCTTTATCCTCAAAATCGTAATATCTTTAATGCCAATGTTATTTAATACCAAAAAAACTAAATGGATTGAAGTATTTTTTATATGAAACATTTAAGACAACCAAAAGAAACAAATATCTTCAATACCAATATCATGCCATATCCATATTTATCTTTAAAATACATATTGTATAATTATTAATACTATACAAAAATAGGAATATATTTTTTGGGCCCAATACAAAAATGAAAAAGACAAATATAATATAAGAAGATTCAACACCTGCAGTAAGTTATTGATCGACAAATTGCAGAAAAATATTATAAACTTTATAATAATCAAGTTAAGTTACCTGAGACTATTAGAATCTTTTTTTAGCAACACTACTACAATGTTGTTGAAACGGTATTCGGTTGCTCTATGTTTATCTTACATCAGCAGTAGCCTTTTCACTCCATTGAGGAGAAGTGTTATACCCCCACTCTACCAATCTGGGCCTATATTAAGTTCTCGCGAGTGGCAGATATTACGGTAGGCCTGAGTGGCATCCTCGGGGATAGGTGTTGGTAAGTTAAGTATGAATACACCACTTCCACTCACTGGGATTAAACGGTTATCATCTATATCGCATATACAATAATAAAAAAATTTCCCTCAACCCAAGACTGTTAGGACGAATCGAGCGATTACGGATTGGGTCCTGAAAAGGGAAGTGGTATATCCTCACTCTATCGGCCTGTCCCGGGCTCAGACCTCGAGTAAGTCAATTACAGCGGGGGCCTGTATGACGTTCTCGGGCTTAATGACAATATTATTTTATGACGCTTAATGAGTTTTTCAAAAAAATTATAAATTTTTTAAATATAAACACTGTTTAATTTATTTTGACATATTCGTTTTCCTCAGAAGTTCACGATTACGATCATATATTGCTCCAATAATAACACAGGCACAAAAAAAAAATTCAGGTCTTAAAAAACACAACCCCATATTCCTATGTTTTTGGGGTCGCTGAAACCGAATATGACCATTAACCAAGCCATTAACAATTTTTTTGACGACCCATTTTCCCGCAACCACCCCTTGCACCTACTCACGGGGGTTGGAGTTTCAAATTAAAAAAAATTGAGTATGGTGTCTATTCCAATGTTTTTTTGGGTCGCTTCATCCCAAAAACACCATTGAAAACAAATCCTTTCTTTCCTTAACCCCGTACAACCCTCTGGGAGGGGGTTAAAATTTTAAATTTCACAAAAAGTCAAGTTCGGTGTCTAATCCTACGTTTCTTGGGGCGCTGAAATTAAAAAACACCACCAAAAACAAATTCTTTACCCCCTTAACCCGCTAGAACCCCTGGGAGGGGGTTGGAATATCATTTTTCACGGCGCTAAGTGTAGAAAAATAAATTTCCTTAAGACTTTGTAGGTGCGTATTTGTGTAATCATAGGTAACTTTCTAGAAAACTTTATTGTTGGTGATGTTTTTTGGTTTCAGCGACCCAAAAAACATAAGATTAGACACCGTACTCGACTTTTCGTGAAAAATGAAATTCCAACCCCCTCCAGGGGTTTTAGGGGGTTAAAAGGGTAAAGAATGTGTTTTTGTTGGTGTTTTTTGATTTCAGCGACCAAAAAAACATAGGAATAGATACCGTACTCGACTTTTTGTAAAAATTGAAATTCCAACCCCTTCTCAGGGGGTTATAGGGGGTTAAGGATTTGTTTTTAGTGGTATTTTTCGGATTAAGCGACCCAAAAAACATTGGAATTGACACACTACTCGATTTTTTTGTTTTTAGTGGTATTTTTCGGATTAAGCGACCCAAAAAACATAGGATTAAACACCGTACTCGACTTTTCGTGAACAATGAAATTCCAACCCTCTCCAGGGGTTGTAGGGGGTTAAAAGGGTAAAGAATGTGTTTTTGTTGGTGTTTTTTGATTTCAGCGACCAAAAAAACATAGGAATAGATACCGTACTCGACTTTTTGTAAAAATTGAAATTCCAACCCCTTTTCAGGGGGTTGTAGGGGGTTAAGGATTTGTTTTTAGTGGTATTTTTCGGATTAAGCGACCCAAAAAACATTGGAATTGACACAATACTCGATTTTTTTGTTTTTAGTGGTATTTTTCGGATTAAGCGGCACAAAAAACATAGGATTACACACCGTACTCGACTTTTCGTGAACAATGAAATTCCAACCCCCTCCCAGGGGTTGTAGGGGGTTAAGGATTTGTTTTTAGTGGTATTTTTCGGATTAAGCGACCCAAAAAACATTGGAATTGACACACTACTCGATTTTTTTTTTTTTTTTGAAACTCCAACCCCCATGAGTAGGTGCAAGGGGGTGGTTGCGGGAAAATGGGTCGTCAAAAAAAATTTTCATGGTCATATACGGTTTCAGCGACCCCTTTCATTACAGTATTTAAAAGGTCATCGACCATCTTATGAACCCTCAACCAAAAGCTGTTTTGACAACAAAAATTTCAGATAGAAACCGTCGAGAACCCTAATTATCAAAGTAAAGATATATATGTATATATAATCTAATAATAATGAGAAAAATCAAGTACTAAGAAAATGTGAATGAATGACGGAATGAATACAAAGATTATTATACTATAATAATAATTAGCGAAATTGTGAGAAAAATTGTGTAAATTAAAAAAAAATTTATTTACAATAATTCAATTTTTTACCAATAATTGTTAATTATTATTAGTATTAATTTATAATTATTAATAATTAGTACTAGTAATAATTTATAATTATTAAAAATTATTACTAGTAATAATTTATTATTATCATTATATATATATGAGAGATTCTTTTTCAATCGCCCCAGCCCAAAAAGTCAATGTTCTGGGATTGGCTTCATACTTTGGTAAATTGTTGTCCTATATGATAGTAATAAATCCCTAAAATATAAACGCATTAAAAAAATATTTGTAGAAAGTAGAGGGGGTTGAAGTTTTGACGTTAAGGGTAACATTGTCATTTTCAAATCCGTATAACTATGACAAAAATTAATGGATTTTAATTTATCTATAATGAATTTTAATTCATTTTTCACGTACTTTTCAAAAAAGTATACGAAATTTAAAAAAAAAATTTTTGACCCCTTTTTTTCAAAATCAACCCTTATTTTTCGATTTTCACCCCTTCGGATATTTTTTTTTTATTTTATTTTCATTGGAAAGCTGAGGTTTTTTCCCATGAGCTGTGTAAATATGAAAATGGAACAACAATAATTTTGTGAGAAACAGAATATTAAAGTAGGCGGTGCCGATAAGGGGTATACCTGGAGATCATCTTTGAGGATTTAGGTAGGCACCGCCTAATTTAATATTATGTTTCTCACAAAATTATTGTTGTCTCACTTTCGTATTTACATAGCTCATAGGAAAAAACCTCAGCTTTCCAATGAAAATAAAAAAAAAATCCCGAAGGGGTGAAAACCGAAAAATAAGGGTTGATTTTGAAAAAAAGGGGTCAAAATTTTTTTTTTTAATTTCGTATACTTTTTTGAAAAGTACGTGAAAAATGCATTAAAATTCATTATAGATAAATTAAAATCCATTAACTTTTGTCATAGTTATAGGGATTTGAAAATGACAATGTTACCCTTAACGTCAAAACTTCAACCCCCTCTACTTTCTGCAAATATTTTTTTAATGCGTTTATATTTTAGGGATTTATTACTATCATATAGGACAACAATTTACCAAAGTATGAAGCCAATCCCACAACATTGACTTTTTGGGCTGGGGCGATTGAAAAAGAATCTCTCATATATAATAATTATTATTAATTTATAAATATATATTATTACTAGTAATAATTAAATTGCATATGAATAAAATTGTATTTGAGAGAGAGAGACAGTCACAGCAGTTCACTCGACCTTGTTAAGAATTTCTCCTAGGTCAGTTATAAGAGGCTCTTAAAGAAAAACTCTCCTAAAGATATACTCTTACGCAAAACTTTCACTCTCTACATTTATTCCTCTTTTAGAATAATAATTTTGTAGATTCCGAAATGGAGTACATAGTAGATGTTCAAGGATTCAAATTGCCAATTAATGAATTTGTTTTAAAAGAATTGGCTATAGTTTCTACAAATAATAATGATTCCAATCCAGTGCATATGATTTTTCAACCTCCGTGTCCGTGGAATTGTATTTCGAAGAAATACAAGAGTGTTAATCGTTGGTTAGAAAAGAATTTACATGGTATTTCTTGGAATGCCGGTGATGTTTCGTATACTTATATAATGAAATATTAAAAAATACGCTTAAAGAAGCGAGAAAAATTTATGTAAAAGGATACGAGGAAAAAATGGTTACAAGAATTTATTGATGAAAACAGTGTTGCCAAGTTAGTGGTTTTCCCACTAAATTTAGTAAGATTTTGGTCCTTCAGTAACATTTTTAGTGAGAGAAATATTTTAGTAGGAAATTTAGTATCTTTTTTTTTCTTTCGTGGTCTTTTTAGTGTTTTTACCTAAATGTCATTTTTTCTACGTAAATTGTATCTGAAGTATTAAAAGTGTGGTCACTAAGTTTAAACTATTCAAGTGAATTTGATTGGTTATACTGATGGAGATTCAGCAAATGTTCAGACTGGGCCAATCAAAATTAGTCACACAGTTCTATAAGAAAGGATGCTCTTCTACGTGCCAAGCCCTGCACTGCTGTTTAGTACAGTTTATTTGTGAAGCTTATATTGTCGATATGGATAATTTAAACTACGTTTCAATAAAAAAATTAAGAGATCAAGCTTTTGTAGTTACCTGTTCACATCATTCAATTAATGATTCCTGTGGTTCCTGTTTAATAAGTAATTCCAGGAGACTAGTGGCTTCATTTACCTCCCTCTGCCTCTCCTTCTCTTCCTCCTCCTTATTTTCCTTATCTATTACAACAATCTCTTCAATTTTAACACCTTGAGTTGGATGAAAATCAATGTCCATTTGACTCATAGTAAATTCTTCAATTTCTGCTGGATTTGAAACCGGACCTTCTATAATGTCAAAATCAAATTCATCTCCCGATAAATGCTCAATATTAGGACGTTTTTTAACAGGAACACGAAATCCTGAATTTCAACTACTTCTACTACGATATTCATGTGTTCCAGGAAATACTCATCGTCGTCCATTGATAAACGTGGACTGAATAGTCCGTATCGCCTTACTCCTGCCGCCAATGTAAGAAAATCTGAAATTTCTGAAGATCAAAACAATTGATCACCCATTCGTTTGGTACATGAAAAAATAAACGGAAGCCCGTGTAATTGTCCTCATTCTGCAAAAAACAAAGAAATATATATTATTATTAATTGTATAATTAAATAATAATCATAATAAACTATCACATACAATTAAAAAATAATTTAAATTAACTTTTATAATAAATAATAACTCACGTAAAAAGTGCTCCTGGGAATTGCCACCAGAATTCTTATTCGAAATTCCAATGTAATTCCGATTGAAAATTTCAGTGGAATTCCAAGGAATTCTAATCGAAAATTCCTATGGAATTCCGATTAAAAATTTTAGTGAAATTTCGATTTTTATTAAATATTACTAAAATTGAAGGCAAATTTTAAAAAAATGTAAAAAAATTTTTTAGTTACACTCACTTTTTTTCACTAAAAAGAAAAAAACCACTGCACTGTGCATTCAACAAGTCACTTAAGAGGTTCTTCTATTTTTGGTGGTTACTTTTTTATTAAAGCTCCTATGGCACTGGCCTCTTTTCATATGTTGTCCCATAGTTTACAATTGAGTGACTTTACTTTTTGGTAAAAGAACTCTTTTATCGTCATACCAACTTAGAGCCTCTTTTCTTTGTTGTACAGTGTAATCTTGATGTTTTACACTTCGAATTAAATATTGATTTTCTACTACGTTTTCGTATGAAAAAAGTGTTTTTTTATAGTTCTCAAATGTAATTTCCTTTAATGTTGAAGATCTAACACCTTTATCTTTTTTCTTCTCGCGAATTTCTTTTAATATTTTATATGAATACAATTTCGATCTTAATCCAATAAACTCCATGACAATCTTGCCATTGCATTCATCTTTCATTAAACCTCGAACTTTTCTATTTTTTAATTCTATACCATAACAATTATTTTCTGGATAATCGGAAGTATCGAAAAAATGTGAATCGCGTTTAATATAATCATATATGTTTGGAACTTTAATATAATAAATTAAACTATCAGTATCGGTATAAGGTAATTTAGATTGATCACTGAAAGTTTTTTTAACATAATTATAATGAAAATCGTAAAGAAAGAGTTTTGATATATCAAGAATGCTAAATCCAACATATATCGGTTTATTAAATTTAATCTGAACTTTATTCATCTCTATCCTAACCAAATTTTCATCAAAAATATAACAACTGTTGAAATTTGGTTTACTAATAAGAGCTTTAGCCCTGTATCTACATTCCCAATGTGTAATAATTCTAATATCCTTATGCTTTCTTATATTCTCCATTGTCTGCCCAAAAACAGAATTGTTTATTAATTTGTAAAAATTTTTCAAATATATTTGTTGACATTTTTCGAAATTCAGTATTCAAATCAATATATTTTTTTAACCATTGAGATTGATTGAATTTTAAAATTCTATAAATTTTCGTTAATTTCATTCCAAGTTGCAAATAATATTTTAAATTTTTATAATGAATTACATATTTTGTTCTGGAAAACAAATGTGGTATTAAGTTAGGTAATTTTCTCCCTGCAGCAGGGGGTATAAAATGTTTGGGGCATAAAGGCAAATCTTTATGCATATCATGAAATTCTTCTGGATATTCCAAATCTACTTCCAAAATATATCCATACATAGAATCATCTTCAATTTTATTCACATCAAACTCTGATAAATTAATTTCCCATTGAAAATCAGAATAGGGTAAAAAATTACTCATCGCTGCGCCATATAAATTATTTATATCAAAATACATTATATAAGATTCTTCAATTTCTGAATTAAATTCTGGCCCCATAAATCGATTGTTTGCTTTCGCATACCTATTTGAGCATTGAGAAATTCCTCCGCGAATACCTCCATTTCAATATTTCTTAATAACTCTAGTTCTATTTTTGTGAATTTTAACATAGCATCGAATGCAAGTCCTGGTGCTGTAAAATAGTGTAAAGGATCTAAATTATATGCAGATAAGCATGTTTTTCGAAAATTCTCAAAAACATCAGCTAAAAGTAAAACGTCTGTTTTTAAATATAAATCTGAATATTCCCCCAAGTTATTCAAATTAAATGTATTCCATAGGGGCCGTCCATATACCACGTGGACAGTTTTGGGGGGAGGGGGGGTTCGTCAAAAGTCCACGATTGTCCACGAGGGGGGAGGGGGGGTCAAAGCAAATATCCACGTGGACCCAGTAAAAATGAAATTTTATTTATTGTTTTTTATCCCTCTTTTAAATTTCGCGCCAGTGTATTATGCAGCGCTGCGCAAGTCATTCGATATTTTTATCGATTTCGTTCGAGTTTTATCGAATCAATATACGCCGGTTGGTGTGCTACACGTGAAAAATCATAACAAACCCGCCTAAACCCGAATTCTCATAAATTACAATTTCATTTTTAATGAATTTAAGACCTACTGTGAATAATTTACCTCAAAATCTCCTTGATGATTTGTACTGCCCTTCAGTACTACCTGTACTGCAAGGTAAGTGACCCCTTAAAAAGATTCCACAGATAGGACTCCGATAAAAATTTTGATACTCAGCGTAACAAATTTTGATTTGAAATACATCTTGAATTTTGAAACTACTATTGACTCAAAATACTTCAATCAACTAACAGACTGTTTTTAAAATTTTAAAACGCATATGCAATGAATGTGGCCTTTATTTTGCCGCAAAGTCGCACTTAACTACTCACGTTAAAATATTATATAAAAATCAACGTAAAAGAAATACAGAGGATTGGGATGAAGAAACGGAACTTGTTGAAGTGTCTTGTGTAAAGATGGAAAATAATGTAACTTCAGAGAGCTCCATTGATTTTTTCGCAACTGATAATCTTGCCGAATGGTTAACACAACCATGGATCAGCAATGATGATATAGATGACGATTAGTAGATTTGTGGTTTTTTCGATATTATTTTAAGATTTGTTACCATAAAGATTTACCTACTTTTATTTTATACGATAATTTTCAGATATTCCTGGCATAAATATTTTAATTCTACCATACATTGTATTTTTAGCTATAGTGATCGATAATTTAAGATTTGTTGCCCAAAAGATTTATGTATTTTTAGTTTGTAGAGTAATTTGAAATATTTTTGCCAAAAATATCTTCACGATACCAAAAAATAATGGTATTTAGTTGGTAAACGTTATTCTAAGATGTGTTAGCAATGTGATTGTTATGTGATTCAACCAAAAATGTTATTTTGCTTAGCAAAATTTTAAGTTTACTAGCAGTAAACTTGAAAATTATTTTTATAATTAAAAGAAACAGTGACTAAATGTTTTCTAATAACTATTATATATCTATTTATTTACCATTTTAAAATAAGAAACATACAAACAAAAATTTTCACCAAAAAAAGTCCACGTGGACATTTAGGGGGGGGGGTTCGTCAAAAGTCCACAATTGTCCACGAGGGGGGAGGGGGGGTCAAAAAGTGACGAAAAATTGTCCACGTGGTATCTGGACGGCCCCATACTTGACAGCATGCGCATATTCTTCATTCGATATATTTGAATTATTCAATTTTGAAAAGAATGCTTCTATTGACGGTAACTTATTTTCCTCTAATTTTTTCCAACTATCTATATATTCATACAGGAAAACTCCTTTTCTGACCAATAAATTAAACTTATCGATATTATTGCAATATTTTGCAGTAATTTTTTTTCGTTATTATTTAAAAAACTTGATCATTTATCCAAACTACTAGGCATGAACCTAAACGAGTCTAAAAATTTAAAACATATGTACATCGTATCCCGACAAATTGTGAAAAACTACGGGAATCGAATGCAAATTTTTATAATTAATATTACAACCCTGATGAGCTGCACCCCGATATTTTCCAGTGAAATGACAGTGATCTCGATGTTTAATTTCATCATTTTCGAACGAATTTTCACAAATGTGACAAATTTTTACGGTTCTAAATTCCAATTCTTGCTGAAAAGTTAGAGTTTCTATTGGCACTATTTTTTTCAAATATGTTTCAATTAAATCAGTAATACTTATTAATTTTTTCATGAACCAAGAAATGCAATCCTGCCCTCTATAAGATTCAAACACCGAAAGTGAATCTTCTAAATCACATTTTAAATAAAATGCAACGCTTGCCGGAATGTGTTTCCAATATACCCCAGATATTATTTCGTTATCATTAAAAGCTTCTAAAAGACTTTCATTTACCGCATATAGTACAAATGGCACCTTTTCTTTAAATCTAAAATTTTTAAACTTTAAAATATTCTCCTCTTATGTCGGTAAAATAACTTTACACTCGTTTAAATTCATACAATCGGTTTTATGTTTCAGAAATGAATTTTCATAATTAAAATGACATAGACATCTGTCACATAAATAAGTTAGCCGTGATGTTTTGAGAATTGTGATTTTACCAATCCACGCGAAGTGATAATTAAAATTATTATTATTGTGATTATTTATTACAGAAAAAGTGTCCACTTTTTTATAATTAGTAAATGAATAGCATCTCTTTTAGAAAAATTATCGCCGAGGGGCTGTTCACTCTCAAATACCCGATTTGTAATGTAGAGAATATACTAGGTATCTTCCGAATATTCATCAATTAACATAAGAAAATATAAATTTCTTGATTCTGAATAAATTGTATTTTAAGTGGAGATTACCGGCGATTACTGAAAAGGACGTTCGAATTTGTCGAATACTATGCGAATCCAACAAATCTCGTCGATTACAGTAAAATCCTAAGTCATGCAGTAAGAATTGTTGCGAGTCACGAATGGTTACGGAGAAATACGAGCGAATTCGGCGGCAGCCGATTATTATTATTATTATTATTATTATTATTATTATTATTATTATTATTATTATCTAGTCTGCAACACGAAGCAGCGCAAAGAAAGAATTTGTGAAAATACTGTGAATATCAACGAGTCCGTGCGATTCCATTCGAATCCGAAGCCGAATACGTACGAGTCCTAAAAATCTTTAATGAATTCTCCAATATTGTTCAATTGGATTTTCAGTGAACAGCCCCTCGATTATCGCTTAAGTAAAAAGGGACAATGTCTTCTTTATTTTTACCAACTTTTTCAAAACCATAAATATTTATTTTCAAACTATTCATCTTTTCAAATTTAGAAACATCTTTTAAACTAATAGGAAAATTTATTCCCTCATATTTTAAAACATTCCTAAAATGAGGATAAGAACTTATAAAATTTGCATTATTTTTAACTGGAAACAAAGCTGCCATTACTGACCAAAGAAAACAGTAATCGTTAGTACATTTTACATTTACAATAGCCGTTTTATCAATTATAAATTTTGGTAATTCCGTATTTACAGAACAACCTTCCTGAATTGGCGCAAGTCTATTTATATTAACCATTAAATTTAAAATCTCCTTCAATGACCAACCTGACTTTTTTTCATTAAATTCCTCAATTTCTTTAAGAATATATTCATTTATTTCATTAAGAATTGTATCTAAGTCTGAGAAGGGAAAAAGAATTTCATTTTTTGCATCAAACGATTTTTTTTCTTGTATATTTTCACCGTTTTCGATAGTTGTAAAATTGCCTATTAACACAAAATTCACTTTTAAGCTATTATTTTCTTTAAAAGCATTTTTTAAACGGGATTTTATTACAGATTTTGACTCCTCTAAAAAGTTGAACAAATCTTTATGTTTTAAATTAATAACTACTCCTGTTCTAACTCTTTTTTCAAAAGCTGACTCTAAATTTTCCCATTTTATTCTTCTTTCTTTTTTTCCAAATTACCTCCACCAGTTTTTTGAATTTCTCTAAATTTTTCGCAAATAGTTTTTAAAATTCCAACAGTTGTTATAATTCTTTTTCTTTTACTCACATTAATCAATTCTTTTTTTGATGTCAAAATTTTATTCAAAAGACTTATATTTTGCACTACTAATTTTATCCACCTTTCTGATTCCAATAATTACCGTTTTTTACTCTTAATATTTTTCACTATAATTAAGCACTCTCCATAATTTCAATGAGTTTTGGAATA